GTCTGAATGGTTTTATTATGCTATGTGGGTGGATAGAGTAACGACGTGTAAAGCTACAGGATTTTCACCATATTATTTACTATATGGACAATGTCAGGGCATGTTAGAACTTGCGGATTCGGACGACTCCGGAATGGAATCGGAGACTTATCATGGAAGGACCTCGGCCTCAGCGACTCAGGCGGAGCGCTGTGCCATTGCTGGTTGTCCTAGGGGTCCCTAATTTCGGATCTAGCAGAGGGAAAGTCTCTTGGGGGAATTCAAGTCGATTTCGGACTGAGGTTACAAGTTACTAGGTACATTGTATATAAGGAGGGGTCCGGAATCAAAAGGAACAAGGGTAGGACAAAAGGAGACAAAGGGAGATGGAAAGAGGAACAACACCGAGGGTCAAGTGTTTGACTCAATGGTGTTTCCCAAGGGAGGAATGAAGGGCCAAGGCCCAAGAAGGAAGGAAGGAGGATGGGAGTCGGGAATGGCTAGCTGACTGAATAGAAAGGAAGCAGCAGCCCAAATAGGAATGAGGGAGAATAGCGGAATTGAAATGGACAATGCAATAGTTGCAAGGTCCGGAGTAAGTCCGGAAAGTCCGAACTCGGAGGTTAAACTCCGGAATATTGGCAAAGGTAATTAAATGGAATGGGCTAACCAATACAATGGGTATAAGCGGAGGTGGGGTCAAAGTCCGAGGTCGGAGCTAAGACCGGAGGTTCCGGAGACGAGACGTGAATGGGATACCGGAGCGGAGGTCCGGAGTCGGGAGCATAGGTTTTGCGTACTCATCTGGAAGGTGTCGAGGTTGGGGTCGGACCCGGAATGTTCCGGAGTCGGACCGAAGGTGGTGTCTGAGCCAGAGGTGGGATAACCTCTTGGGAGTCGGCAAGGAGAAGGTGACGGAAGGGAAGTAGGGCTCCGGAAGTCGGAGTTCAGAGTTCCGGGAGCCCGGAGCGGAGGTCAGGATTGTATGGATATGACAGGGCACACCTGCCTGACCCGGCTCCACCCAGCCCAACCTGACCCGGTACCCCACTGGTCCACCCTTCCTTACCTCCTCCCCCTTTCCCTTCTTCCCCCTCATTCTTCCCTCCTCACTTTCTCCCTATCTTACTTCTTCTTTATTCTCTCTTTATTCTACATGGATGACTTTCTCTGTATCAATGTACCATTGACCCACCTGCAGCGTGCCCACCATGTACCTGGCCCGGGCACCTCGGGCGACTTCCCGCTGTGCCCAGTATGCGCACCTGCACCGGATGCCCTCAGGATCTCCCACGGAGATACCCGGGTGGTTACGGCTGTGTGCGAGGGTGACGTGGCACCCGTCATGTGATCTAAGCCGCATGTATATAAACGAACCTGAAGTGGGAACCGAAGAAGTAGCCTTCTTCTCAACTTTCCACTTCAGGTAAGTAGTACAATATCTGATAATAACAACTTTCCACTTCAGTCTAAGTGGCCAGGGACCACTGTCCCACATCGGGCCTGTCAGTATGCACGCCCGATCCGCTCCCCGCCAGGCTCTCAGTCCCGGACGCTACACCCGGGCCCCCTCGACCCCAGACGAGTCCCTGACAGACAAGCACCTCTATTCCCCTTTGACATCTCCGAAAGAACATGGCATACATTGGACTGGCATAAAGTAGAATCTACAACGGATCTACTAGCGCTAAGAATGGCCCAATTGAAGGAAAGGGATGACAATATAGACCAGGCATCAAAGGATCTAGAAGCCCAACGGCGGAAAAATGCGCAAGCATTTTGGGACAAATATGGAAAACCACAATATAAAGATCCAATCAAACCCGGTACTATGGTATTAGTATATAAGAATTTCCTAGATAATCAACAAGGAAATAAAGGAGCGCTGAGATGGTTCGGGCCATATTACGTGGTAGAAAACCGACCGTCTGGGGCATATGTCTTAGCGGAGTTGGATGGAACAGTATTGTCCAAGCCCATAGCAGCGCAATGGGTAAAAATGTTTTATTTTCATGAGAACAATGAGCCTATCATACACAAACAGAAGCCTGAACAAGAGGGAAAATGGAAAACAATTGAGAAATGGCATAATTTGGAAAGGAAACAGTGGTTAGGAGAGGAGGAGGCTGACGGGACCCCGTCAGAAGAGAGCGAGAATGGGGATGACTCAGGAGACGATGACTCAGGAGGACTATCTGACGAAAATCCAGAGAGTCTGGAGAAGGTGATGAATCTACGAACCTGACGGGACAATTTCGTGAAAATAACATTTGAAATACCTTACAAGGAAAGCCAGGCACGGTTAAATAAGGAAATATTATATTGGGATGCAGTGTGGGATAGATGGACCATCAGAAAACAATTGATAAAAGAGGGAAAGGATTTGCCGAAAGTAATTGACTCATTAAGTGAACGGGCAAGGGAAGCAGCGAGGTACGATCCACGATGGAACTATAGGGACCATGAACGGAAACATCAGCCCGGGTCATATATGAGGTATAAAAGTCCTGAATCACCGAGAGGATGCCTCTATTTTCCTGTGCCCGTGCACCTTAACTGGTTTCACGTCTTGGAAAGGAAAGAAAGCTTCTCCAGCGAAGTTTCTTCAGTTAATTAACCCACATTAATGGATTCAGGGATCAACCAAGGCACATATAATACAGAGCGCCCGTGGCAGTGGAACAAAAGTCAAAGCATGCGCGGTAAATTATCAGGAAAAAAGCTTAGTATAACCATAAAAAGCTAACAAGTTATAAAAAGGAAAAATAAAATGAAGAAGGGATGGACTTCGAGAATCTGGAAGCATGCGGTCGGCTGTTGCACACGGGCAAGGAGAGGCTGGAAGAACTGGCGATCACATCAGCGGAGGAGCAGACAGGGTGAAGAGTTCCCCCTTGAAGAAGTGGCTGAAACGATCGTCAATGACCCGCCAACACCCGAACAGGTACAACAAGTAACCGGCAGACCGCCAGTAGTGGAATGCCTGGCTTTACATATCGGTATGCAGTACGGGATGTGATGGAAGTACATGGTCTATCCGAAGGACTTGCTATGATCCACATAGACGACTACATAGCCAACGGACAGGACTGGAGGGAAGCGTGTCAGATACACACCAGAAATATATGGGTGTAATAATAAATATTGTATTTTGACTCGGAGGAAAGGTATAAAATAACTTAGGATAATTCCACAGCATCAGAAAGACCCCCTGAAAGCGAACAAGACTACTCCACAAAGCATGAAGACTACTCTATACACGGTGATCGCAGTAATCCTGAGCCTGATCCTAGCTTTAGCAGGCTGGCGCTACGGATTTACACCCAATAAGGACAAGGAAAGGGAACCAGAGAGCCCATTAACGTCCGATGGAGAAGAACCAGAGGCGGTTCATAGGAATATGGAGTATCGAGAGAAATCAAGCTCTCAGGAATCGTTGGGGGACCGGTATCTACTCAAGAACCAAGGGAGGAAGCCAATGGGCAGGCAATTCTATGTATCCCGCAACCTTTCTCACCCCTACTAACCCAACGGAAGGAGGAAGAGGAGTAACATCCCCTTTATTGCCTTTCTGGGGGCAGGAAAAGGTACGGATCCGAAAATGGCTGTCCCAGAATGGCAAACGCTGATAGCCGAGACTTTGAACACAGCTGATCGATAAATTCCCGGACTCTGTGTGCAGATCCCAATGTACTCCAGCGTTAAAGTAAACAAAACCAGGGATAAGGTAGAGACAAGTAGTGTCTCATCGGCCCAGAAACAATTGAGTAGTAATCGGGGGATACATGAGTAAGTGTCAGGGATCACTCATCAGTCCGAGTCAAATATCGCCCGAAAACCTAGTCGTAGACAAAGCTGAGGTTCCAACCCTCAGCGGCACATAGAGCTATATACATGAGTGACATCAATCAATCGGAAGAGATAGGATCAAAGGAACTAAACAATGATCCAATAGAAAATGAAGTGAATAGAGATGAAGGAACACTCGGATCAGGGGGCAGAGTCGGATCAGGAGAAGGTGAGGGATTTACGATAGATGAGGGCCGATGCGGCTACATGTGGTGATATAGTCTTACACGATATCGATAGGGTAACAGAGAACCGCTTACGCTATGTCCCCTGACACTAACCGGCTACCCTGACTCCCTATGCTGGAAGGGAGTTGCTGTAAGATGATCCAGAGTGATCCGAAGAACGCAGGTAATCTCGCTTAGCTTCGCTTAGCATCCCGCTTCTATCTTCCGTCCACATGTCACCCCTTTCCCACACCTCGCTTACAATTATCCAAATGAATACTTATCTTTTCATGTTGTCATTCTATCGGTTATCTCTTATCTCATTGTAACTGCACTCTAGTGGGTAGCAGTACCCATGTATATAACTCCTATCTCCACTAGGATTCCCAGGAACACCTTTATCATCGTGAACTGACATGCAGTCCCTGACAACCACCCTTCCCTTACACAGTGGGAAGAAAATCACAGTAAAAAACATCAGGAAACCCAGGTGAAAATCGCAGCATCTTATGGTGGAACACCCTAGTAGAATACCTGAGGTCCCAGGGAAATCACTTGGAAAGAGCGTGCTGTTTAAAACTCGGCAGTCCCTTAGTAAATTTGACCAAATACCTGGGTCCCCCAGATGCGATCGGTTGATAATTTACCTGTGGTCCCAAGGTATCATACTAAGGATGTACCAGGTGTTGTGGTGTGTTCTTCTCCAAGTAAATTATGATGGAGTACTATGGAATAATCCACTGTATGGAATAATCCACCGATGAAAAATCCTGACCCATGAAATGAGGTCCTGTGCACTTAAACATTGGCACTTTCCACTTAGCGCTTCTCGCACTCAACATACTTAACATACTTAACATATTTGGACATGGATCACATGAGCTTTCTATACATCGTCGAATAATATTCTTATTGTGGAAGGACGATGTTTTGATTGTACTGAGACAGCTGTAACCATACTAGGATATAAATTTGGTGCAATTGCATGTGCAAAGCCATAGCTCAATGGCTGGTATTGGTGGTCCTGGATTGCAGATGGCAGGGAGTGTCGGTTCGAATCCAGCTGTGGCGAAAGGTTTTTGTACTTGTTTTCAGGTGGTCGTTCGGCTGTTGTCTCACCAAAGACCGTGGGGCATGTTCTACCTGTATATACTAGTATCTAACTGAGCCTGTGCTGCTATGGAGTCCTGCTTATAGGTAGAATTAGGACCATGGGTCAAATTCGGGGTGGAGTGTCCGAGACTGATTGTTTCCGGCAAAGTCCGAGCTGCCTGTCGTTGCTCTGTGCTTATTCCTCTTTTATCAAACTCTACAAATCTCCACATCTGTGCACTCAACAACAGCCTTTAGAATGTCGAACACAAATTCTAATCTGTCACCGAACTCAGCAAGGGTTTTACAGCAGGCAACAGAAATCCTTCGTCATTTCGGGGCTGATGTTCCTCCCCTTGCTGCCCCTAATTTTGGTGCTAATTTTCCATCGGGAGGGGCTCAAGAATCGGTCTCAGGACGAGCTGTTTCAACTTCGAACACAGCCATGAGTGGGCCAGTGTCATCAGTTCTGCCCCAGCAATCGCTTCAATCGCTTCCACCTTCACGGGCATTGCATCCTCAGGCACCTCCCATTAACTTTCCTTCTCTTGCTGCCCCTCCTCCTCTCCCAGTTTTTTCGGGAGTCCATGCTCAAACTTCTGGCTCAGCAGCATGTGTGTCTGGTTCGGATCTGCACATGAACTTTGTTGGCACCCAATCATCTATTCCACCCCTGCCAGTTGCTTCTGTCACACCAGTTCCTGCTGCATTCCGAGGCATCCCTTCAGGATTTTCCACCACAAATGTGAATTCTCATCGAAACAGTTCTGCTGTTCGAAATGCTTCCAACTCACGACGAGTGCGAGCCCAACCATATGAATCTCTAAGTATTGCACCCGCGACATCTCGTTTAGGGATTTCTGGGAATTTGATTGATTCTCTTGAGGTGTTATTACTCCCCAGCGAGGTATTTGTCTCCATACCATATATGCTCGGTCATGATTGAATTCAATTTTTTTAGGCTGAAATTTATATTAGCATGGGAGAGGCTGCTGATTTCCAGGGACCAACATTGGTAAGATCAGTGAGATCAGAGTTTCGACAAACTCGTATTTGGCACCAAATACTCACCACCACCCTGGAGGATCGCCTTCAGAACTTTCAGCGAGTCGTTCGCTTCTCGAATTTGCCACTAAGGATGCTAGTTCATGATCTCCTATCTCAAGTTCAGGATGAGCTCACTCAAAGGGGATTTTGCTTCTATTGCCCCTATGATCCTAGTGCTCCCTCATTTTCACTCCTCCAGCTTCATCAGGCAGGGAGGGTCATGAACACATTCAATATTCCTTCACGTCGATTATCCGAATATCATCTCACTGCAACTGACACTCTGGAGCATATATTTTATGAGGTAGAAGGGTTCAAGGCAGTGAGTGCCTTTTCGAAGAAACAGGATGGAACTCATGTGCTGCGACTTGGTTGGTGGCAGTTTCATTTTCATCTAAATTATCATTAACTTAATACCTTTTAATTAGCCCCATATCTCAACCATCTTGGAGGATCTCTTCCAGATGAGATCCAGACTATCTTGAATGATGGTTTATCCACACCGATCCAGATTCATTTTTGCAGTGGGGTTCGCCTCTACTGAGGGCTTGGAACCGATCAGCCCAATTTGTTACACAGGCTCAGAGGCAATGATACAGCCATGTCTGATGTGACACTCTGCAACATATGTCGTATTCAGGCTGCTTCTCAGGCCCACCTTATCCATATCCACACCGACGAGCAGAATGACGAGGCAAGTTTGATGCCAACAGCAGTTATGATGTCTATGGCTTATCAATATTCAATAGGACGAGACAAGTTCAGTCAGTACAGTGGATAATGAGATCAATGAGGGCCTTGAGAGTGAGGTTATTGCTGTTGGGGATGCTTCGGAGGTGCAAACACATAGGGTATGATCAATTTTCGGCTAATGTTAGATGAAACTTATTTAATTCATTTTCATTTAACTAGGATTTGTCTGATCTTTCAGATGGTATGGCCTCTACTTTTAATGGATTATTAATTACTCATTCTTCGAATCCAGATTCTTCACTATTCTACCCTAGTGTCTCAGCAATATCGGAATTTGCTGACTGCATTAGGGGTCTTGCACCTGATGACTCATCAGACTCACACCCATTCTTAATTTCTGCTGCAACGCAGGAAGATCTCATGGAAAAACTCAAGGCAGAGATCATCTCCTGCTACAATGATGATACCTCTTGCATTGCACTTGACAAATTTGCCAGAGGATTGTCATTTCGGATGTGGGTTACAAGGGAGTTTTTATTTGGCATGCTAGGCTCATATATATTTTAAAAATAGTCGAAACTCAGACAACACTCAAGGAATTGGTGTTGTTCGTGAGGTCATTTTTCAGCTTAGTCAATTGCTCTTCTCACGAGCTCCTGAGGGCGAGCAACTTCGTATCTCATATGATGATCGTCTGATCTTCTTTCCTCGAGTCTACTTTGATGGTATTCCTTCCACTTAGCAACATAAGGAACTTGCATTTGTTCGGGGTGTCATCATAGCCCTGTCAATTGTACACCTTTCTCGCCTTCCTCACCAACTCTGCTGTTTATCTGTCCTATATCATCTTGGTTATGGGAAGTCTGGGCTCCTTACCAAGAGCATTCTGGCCAAGCATCACCCCAAACCTGCAGCTGCACTTAATGAGTTCAAAGCCAGTGGCTCATTCACTGCTATTGAGAAAATTGCAGTTCCCTATTTGGATATTGATGTAAGTATCAATCACATTTCTTGTTTGATGATACTGATTTTGTTGCTGTAAATGAAGGCAGCAGGAGCAGCACCTATGATTGCAAGTGATGAGGCTCGGGCTGTCTTCTCACACAAATTGCTCCTTGCCTGTGTTCGGGGTCCAATTGCTATGGAGGCTAATGATGAAGAGGTAGCTTTCAGTGCTGGGCTGAATCTCCACTGTTCAAATGGCTTTCGTTTTGGAAAAGTATGCTGTACTGTCTCTCAATAATTATATACATGCTAACTAATATTTTAAAGCTTTGCGAGGCTTATGCTGATGGGTGGGAGGGCCTCCTTGAAAGCCTAGATGCATTGGGCATTCAGTCATTTGATGATCTGGCCCCTACTCTTAGTTTTGTGGAACCTCAAACAGCTGTCAGGCTTCTTCGCCAACATTCTGAATTCCAAAGCTTCAGCTCTTTGATTGAAGGCTTTCTACGAAGAACTGGTTGGCCACTTGGTGATTCTGGAAATGACCCCCTTGGACTTGCCAATTGTTTGTTCAGACTTGGCTATGATGATCTACAATCCCATCTTAATAGCCCTGGGTTCAGGTCACAGCTTCTCTATTGCTGTGCTACTTCTTCTGATTCCCTTCTTGGTGGCCAGCAAATAAGAGTAGGCTAATTTCTTCCACCCTATTATAGACCTAACACTCCTCCTGATTTTATAGATCGTGTTTTCTGACACTGGTAATTATTCTATTGAAGGTTTAACCCATAATATGGCAGACTCGGCAATTCGTGTCCAGACATGCTTTGGCAGCCTTGCAATTAACTCCTCAGCGATACTTTATATTATTCACAATAATCCACCAGGCAATCAATTAGCTGAGGTTGATAATTGGCTGTTATCAACGATGGTTATCTCCCTGGATTCTATGGGTGGTACTATGTAGTGGAATCTGATAGTTGCCCAAATTCTTCTCCTTTTTAGCTTATATATATTCTCCAACTGTTTCCCCTCATTTCTTTCCAAATATTCCTTTAATTATCTTTCAAATAGGTGCTGATCATACATTGTCACTCCTTTATCTATCTCTCTCCTCAATTGACACTCCTTTATGATGGAAAACATTTATATTCATTTTCTGGTTGCAGCCAATGATGACTCCCTTCTAAGATAGATGACTTTCATACCTCAGTACTATCTGGATGCAAATTGTCACGGAATTTGCGTTGCAGCTCATTTCTGCCACAACACTTCTGGGGCTAATGTGGCACCAGGAAGCTGTACAACTAGTGTAGTTTTGTAGCTCCCTGGTTTTGGAATTTTAAAATTCTTTGTTATTGCCAAATAAATCTCAGAATACTTTATGATGTTGGAATCAACATCTCTTTTAACACTGACCACAATCCAATTAAAATAAAAAAAAACAGGTTTCAAGTTTGACTCGCATGGATAGAGTAAAATTGAATTACAGCTCTTGCCAGGTATGTCATATCCATCCACCACCACCACCTTCTGCCACCTCTAGCCATCCTGGATTGCCTCCGCTCCTTTGTCTCCAACCTTGGAGCCCCCAGATCCTGCGATCTCCCCAACAGTCACCACCCTCCCATTTCAATATATTACCTACACCTCCCTTAACCTACCCTCGCTGGTGTAACCTTGTTTTTCAACATCCCCAACAGACATGAAGTTCTAGCAGACGTTTCCAGTGCCCAAAGTGGCAAATATGAAGCCAAAGAGGCTCAAGATATAGTACAGGGGCAGAGTTCCCCTTCAGTTTGATTATTAGTGAGATTTACAAGTTTATCTTTTTTATCACATCACACCCAGACCATTTCTCCCCCCCCCCCTTCCTCTTCATCCGAACCTCCCCTGAGCATTTCCAACTCTGTGGCCCCTCTCTTTCTCATTAGGGTGGTAGATCCCTTGCCCCCTTACACCGTCTTGACAAGAAACTTTGCATGTTCTGTGGACAGTCTGGCCAGGGCACGCCATGCTGCACATCCCTACTTGTGTCTCTCCTCTCTCACACCTGGGATCGACCCCAGAGTTGCCTGCAACAACCCAGCTCCATCCAAGGTTGACATGGCACCTTCATGTGACCCATTTTCACATGTATATAAACTTAGCTGAAGCAGGACCGAAGAAGCAGCCTTCTTCTCATTCCCACTTCAGGCAAGTGTTTCAACCTAGTTTAGCTTTCCATCTTAATAACTGTTAGAACCGGGCAGATTTGGACGACTCCGGAGTGGAATCGGAGACTTAGCGTGGAAGGACCTTGGCCTCAGCGACTCAGGCAGAGCACTGTGCCATTGCTGGTTGTCCTAGGGGTCCCTAATTTCGGATCTAGCAGAGGGAAAGTCTCTTGGGGGGAATTCAAGTCGATTTCAGACTGAGGTTACAAGTTACTAGGTACATTGTATATAAGGAGGGGTCTGGAATCAAAAGGAACAAGGGTAGGACGAAAGGAGACAAAGGGAGATGGAAAGAGGAACAACACTGAGGGTCAAGGGTTTGACTCAATGGTGTTTCTCAAAGGAGGAATGAAGGGCCAAGGCCCAAGGAGGAAGGAAGGAGGATGGGAGTCAGGAATGGCTAGCTGACTGAATAGAAGGAAGCAGCAGCCCAAATAGGAATGAGGGAGAATAGCGGAATTGAAATGGACAATGCAATAGTTGCAAGGTCCGGAGTAAGTCCGGAAAGTCCGAACTCGGAAGTTAAACTCCGGAATATTGGCAAACGTAATTAAATGGAATGAGCTAACCAATACAATGGGTATAAGCGGAGGTGGGGTCAAAGTCCAAGGTCGGAGCTAAGACCGGAGGTTCCGGAGACGGAGACACAAACGGGATTCTGGAGCAGAGGTCCGGAGTTGGGAGCATAGGTGTTGCGTGCTCGTCTGGAAGGTGTCGAGGATGAGGTCGGACCCGGAATGTTCCGGAGTCGGACCAAAGGTGGTGTTGGAGCCGGAGGTGGGATAACCTCTTGGAAGTCGGCAAGGAGGAGGTGGCAGAAGGGAAGTAGGACTCTGGAAGTCAGGTTCGGAGTTCCGGGAGCCCAGAGCAGAGGTCGGGATTGTACAGATATGACAATAACAATACATTCCTGCTTCAGCCTAAGAAGCCACACAGGGACACCAGCCCGAGTGAGGGCTACCCACTATATGGTCTCACTGCCCTGCTGCTGTCCGGGCTGCTAGCACTGAGCATTACCCTGTTACCCCCACCTCTTCAGAGCCATCCCTGACACATGGTCAAGGACTGCCCCAAGTCTTCTTCTCACATGTCTAAAGCCTGTTTGGCCAGGACCTGTCATATCCATACATACCCGATCCTGATCCGACTCCTGGACCCTCATCTTCATCACCTCCAGAGTCCTACCCTGTCTCCATCTGCTCTGATACCCACCTTCGGATGTGACTCCTCTCCTCCCACTCCTCGCTACACCTCCCATTATCCCTCTCCTACCCTACCTACGTCTGCTCCAATACTCACCTTCGGACCTGACACCATTCCTCCTCCACTCCTCTCCCCACTCCTCTCATCACTCTCCTCCCTCCTCCCCTCTTCCGCCAAACCTCCACCAATGTATGACCTTCTGCTGCCATCCTGTACCTTGTACTTGGACACTGCCCGTACCTTTGCCCCAAGATCCCATCTTAGTCCCGACCTCGGACTTTGACTCCACCTTGGCCTAAGTCCATTGCATTGGTGACCTCATACTACATAAACACCATTGCCAACATCCCTCAGACTTTCAACCCCACCTCCACAACCTCCATAAGCTCCACAACCTCCGAGCTCCACAGATCATACTTGGCACTTTCGCTGCTTGTAATGTATCTTTCGCGTTTCCCCTCATCCTTATTTGGACTGCTGCTTCTCTCCATTCTAGCCAGTTAGTCATCACCCCCACTTCACCTCATCCTCCTGCCCCTCTGGGCTTCGCCCTCCCTATCTCCTTTTGGATGTACCACAGGTTCTAACCTATGACCTTCAGTGCCAATCCACTTCCATCATCCCTTTGTCTGTCAGGGCACACCCACCAGACCCTGCTCCACCTGGCCTGGACCCACCCGATCCCATCATCCTCCACCCGGTACCTCTACCCTCCCCCTGCCCTGCTTCCTCCCTTCTCCCCTCTTTCTTCTTCTTCCTTTCTTCTTCCCTTCTTTCTTCTTTCCTGTTCCTTCTCTTCTTTCATTACACAGACGACCCCCCCATATCAATGTACCATTGACCCGACTGCGATGTAACACGCCCGGACACCAGGCGACTTCCCGTGCACTGGACACTCCTAGGATCTCTTGCAGAGATACCCTTGGTTGTTTGTTTACTTCGATACAGCTGTGATTTCCATTTTGGGCCGAAAACCAGTTTTGCAATCTCCCGAAGTACAGATCTTGGCTCCACCACATGGGACTTTTGACACTGCCACCCTCATGTGCCTTTCGACATTGTGTGGAACCTTGCGGTAAGATGAGAAATCGTCACCACCATTGCTCCACAATGGCTGGGTCAATCTGGATGAAATTTGGGGAATTCATGTTTATCATTTTTCTCTATTTTTTGAGCCCCTGATCGTCTCTCGGCAGCCAGTAGTGCCAAGCGTAGTTTTTGGGCTGAACCAATTCAGTACCAGCATGTTATGTGCAATTGTACTCCGTTATAAAATGAAATAAATTGTTTTAATGCTCTGTGGGCATTGGTAGGTGATCTTCGCATGTGAGGAACCCTTAAGGAATGTAAACCATGAAAATACTAGCAGTGTAGAGTATAGTAGGTTATCCTGCCTACATTGCTCCACCTCCCTTCTCTTCTCTTCACAGCTCACTGCATCCCTACAAGCCACTTTCCTAGCCTCCATGGTCCTCCATCAGTACTCATCAACACAGAAGCTCTCCACAAGACAATAACTTAGGGTAATGTATCACATGACATGTATGTTGTGGCTGTGCTCTTCACTGTTCAGTCTTTTGCTGTTCTATTGACAGATGGATCCTCTTTTGCCTTTGGCCATGGAGAACCTTTGTGCTTCCTACTTTGAGTTAGAAGAAATGGTTCGCAATGCAACAGTCTTGCCTCATGACAACCCTGCTGTGATCGATCAAATCAGCAGTACCCTTGATTCGTTTCAACATGCATTTTTGCAGGTATGGTCATCTTTTTGTGATCACTCTGGCATAATCATACATGTCTTTTGTTTTTTGGTAGAATCGGCATCTCTTTACACAGAATGAGACAAATACCATCCAGTCAAACCTTACTTGCATGCTGATCTCACCCAAAGTCGAAATGATGCTGAGAATTCTGCAAACTATGGCACTCCACACCCTGTTACACAGCTACACACTGGTCGCCGAGGATGCCCAAAACTCATTATAAATGCTGAGTGGCTGACTTGGGCAGTACATCATCGATCAACAGCACATATTGCTCAATTTCTTGGAGTAGCAGTTTTGACAGTGTCAAAGGCAATTGTGGCCTATGGAATTCGACCTCCTATGGAACCACCCATCTTGCGCACTATTGTTCCTGGGAGCCCAGGGGTGGTAACTTATACACAAATCCACTCATACACAGTACATGTTTCTCAATGGACTGATGAAGAACTGGATCATGAGATTCAGCTTATCCATGAGCATTTCCCAAATGCTGGAATCACAATGCTCCATGGGCATTTCCGTCATAGGGGAGAGAATGTTCCTTGTGAACATATCAATCAAGCACTTCATAGAATCTCCCCTGCCAACCACTCATTCCGACGCACTCGCCTTAGACATCGGCGTTATAAGGTGCCTGGGCCAAACTACCTGTGGCATCATGATGGCCAGCATGGCAAGTTTCACTTTCATCAAGGGGTATGGTATATTCAAACTAGGTTACAGGCCTCATTAGATGGAAAATTGTAGTCCATGGATTTGTTGATGGCTACTCACGAATGATCACTGCAATGCATGCAAGCAACAACAACAGGGCTAACACTGTGCTTGATGTATTCCTGGGTGGAGTTCGTCTCTATGGACTACCATCCCATGTACGTGGTGATCATGGTGTGGAGAATGTCCAAGTGGCTGCCTTTATGGAGCATCATCATGGGGGAGGCCATCAGTCTTACATCTTTGGGCGGTATGACAATAGAGGTACATATATCCCCTAGAGTCAGTCAAGTAATTTGTCATCCCTACAGGAGTGTTCACAATAGATATGGCATGACTGGACAACACAGGCTGGGTCTTGGTGGGCTGAATTATTTTCAATTTTAGAGGAGCATGGAGGATTAGATGTCGACCAACCAAACCACCTTTGGCTTCTCCACAAGCTCTTTCTCAATGCCCTAAATGCACACATTGGACAGTTTGTCCAGTCATGGAACCATCATATCATTTCTATTCGTGGAGAGTGGGGTCAAAGTCCCATTGATATGTTTGGGTTTGACATGCTAGTGCATGGTATCCGGGGTAACATGGTATGGGAAGAGGATATGGTAAGGGTTGAATCAAATACAACAGACACTGAGAGGCTTCAGGATGATGTGCTTCACCCTGAAGACCTCACTGCTTATGATGGTGACATTCAGGATGAAGCCTTACAGGTATTTTCTTCTAGGCTTATCTCAACAATCCAGCTTACCACATCTCACAGGCACCAGGATCTTGGAGGAGGCATCGACTTCATGAAGTTATTGTGTCAGTTGACCATGACAACCTAAGCAGCCAGATAGAGGCAGGACTTATATCATTCATCTCACCACATCTGGAAGTGGCTTCAACTAAAGAAGAAATGCTGGGTGTTTGGCAGATAGCTCTAGCTGCAATGAGGAACAATTTTGTACCAGGTTTCTAGGTTTCATCATTGTAATGGGTGTTGTAATATCAACAATTGGGTCCAATGAGAGAGTGGCGAGGGATATGATATAGCTGCAAGGTCTGAAGTAAGTCCAGAAAGTCTGAACTCAGAAGTTAAACTCCAGAATATTGGCAAAGGTAAATAAATAACCAATTCAACAGACATAAGTGGAGGTGGGGTCAAAGTCTGAGGTCAAAGCTAAGACCGGAGATTCCAGAGATGGAGACATGCGAATGGGATTCTGGAGTGGAGGTCCGGAGTTGGGAGTGTAGATGTCATGTTGATCTTGAAAGGGCTGAGATTTTTCTCAGAGAGCTTTTTGGAAGGTCAGGTGGAGCAGTCTGGGCTCTCGCAGCCCATGTGGGACATCCTAGGTGGGCAGGGGTGAAGGTTGAAACCTTCTTCTGCTGTCAGGGGATGAACCCCAGGTCCCCATGACCCCTCTCTCTACAACCCACAACCTAACTGTAAACAGCCCTGTCCAGGGCACAATCTGCTGTGGGTAAGAAAGCGGTATAAAGGAAAAGCAGGTAAGTACAACTTGCCTGCTGTGGGTAAGAAAGTGAGAAGAAGGTTACTTCTCACTTTCCCACAGTGGCCACAATATGAGGAAAACTTCTGGGGATACCTGGAAGTCACATGAAGGCAGGATCCGGGGACCGGAGCATGCAGCGCATGGATCATGCGGCACAGGAAGCACATGTGGGAAGTGGAGTGGGTCCGGACGCGGGTCCGGGTCCGGGCTAAGTCAGAGTATGTGCCCTGACATCTGGGTACCTGGGTGCTAGACCCTGTCCTCAGCTCCTCAAACACACTGAAGGGTCTAAGTGGGGATTGAGTTGTCATGTATTATGGAGGATAGCTACAACTTGCCTAAGCGGGGATTGAGTTGAGAAGAAGGGTAAGTTTCCCTATTCCCCACTGGGCTGCTATAAAAGGGAAATGTACTGTACAGTTCATAATGTGACTATGGGTAGAAGCCGAGCATGTTCCTGCGACTTGGAAAAGGTGTCACATGGGTTAAGGCGAGTTGCTCGCCTTGACCCACGTGATTTTTCCCACAGGTTCGCATGTGGGCTGTGGTTGAGAGAGATATATAGAGGTGGGAAGATCAGGGAAGTGGGGGAAGTCAGGGAAGGTGGTTCTGGGGTTGTATGGTCAGGTGCAGTTGCCCTGACAGTTCCCCACACTATCCCACTGCTACCCAGACACCCAGCTGAACACGCCAAGGGGCAAGGTTGCCCTATTGCTATAACCATGCTGACGAGCTGGCCAACAAGCATAGGGAACAAGGTCACCTGAACGTGGCCAACCATGTAGCCACAGATGCTCAAGATAACCTGGATGAGATCACCCACCCCCACTTTCACCTGCGACTGAGAGTCGCCCACACAAGTGCTGCATTTTTTGGATTCACGATGGAGAATGAGCACGAGAGGGAATGGATGCCACTGGTGAGGGTGCCCAGGATCCTGTCATATCCATCCATGGCCATCGACTTCCATTACCTCCGATCTTTCCAGACTACCTCTGCTCCTTCTTCACTAACCTTGGAGCTCCTGTATTCTGCAATCACCTCCGCTTCCCTCGATGGTCACCACCCCCTCTTTTCAATATATTACCTACACCTCCCTAAGTATGGAGCCCCAAAGGCTTCTGGACAGCTCCGACATCCACTAGCACACTCCCGCCTCCGCTGGGCAATTCACTCGCTTGCCCTGCAAGCCCACCTTCGGGCCTATCCCTCCTTTCCATTTCTGGGTTATCGCCTGCCATTCCACTAACCCTGTAACCTGACTTGTTGGTAATATTCAATCAGCTAATGTTTAACTCTGTTAGCTCTGCTCCACTCAGCCCCACCATTCACGGGCCCGCCCTCGCTGTAACTATGTATACTTAACTTGTACATAGGTTACACCTCAGTAATAAAATCGACTAGAGTTGATCCCCCTTTAGTTCTCGTTGCCAGTAAGTAAATTAGGGCATGGACATGTAACTTGGCACAGTGCTCCTGGCTTAAGTCGCTGAGGCCGAAGCCCTCCGCCATGGAGACAAATCCTTTGTCTCGATCCGGTCTCTGACAGATCCCTGCTATGGCCACTTAGGCATGTGGCATAGAGGGAGGGTTGTGTATCCCAGCCACATTGCGCTTGCAGACATCGGAGCTGTCTGGAGAACTTTGGGGTTCCATACTTAGGGAGGTGTAGGTAATGTATTGAAATGAGGGGGTGGTGACCATCGGGGGAGTCGGAGGGGATTGCAGAAACTGGAGGCTCCGAGGTTGGTGGCAAAGGGGGTTCATATGGTTGTATCACAAGTGTTTAAACATTAGTTGTAACAAACAGAGTTTTTGTTAATTATTGATTAGTTAAAACTAATTTATTTACAAATCATGTGATATGGGTGTTGTGCAGGGCCCATAAGAGTCTAAATGGGAAAATTCCATTTCCATAACAAGATGTGTGCACTTGACACAGCACTCTTGGCAGAGTCACAGAGACCAAAGCTGTCACATCCCAGAATCCCAACCCTGTACACTCCCACCCCACTACACCTTCCTAACAACCTCATCATCCCCTACACCATACCTCCCCACTTCCCAACATCACCTTCCATCCCAACTGTCTCAGCTCTGGCCTGGACTTCAGCACATTCGCCCTTGGCCATCTCCACCCTGGAAGCTTGGTCCCAAGTTGGAGCATTCGGAACCTCCAGATTTGCTTGGACCTCCCAATGGATTTCCAACATCTTGTTATACACCTCTAAACCTTTCCTCTCCTCATTTCATTTAGTGGAGTCACCCAATATTCCTCGGATACGTAACTCCGGCTTCGGAGCTACCTGCATCCCCTGGTGACCCCACTTGTTAGAACTGGGCAAGGGCAGACGATTCCGGAGGGGAACTGGAGACTTAGCAAGGAGGGACCTTGGCCTCAGCGACTCATGCAGAGTGCTGTGCCATTGCTGTTTGTCCATTTGGTCCTTAATTTCAGAGGCGGCGAGCAGGAAGTCTCTAGGGGGCATTTCAGGTCGATTTTAGACTGAAGGTCCAAAACGAGTATGTACAAGCGCCTGTATATAACAGGGAGACAATAGCACAAGGAAACCAAAGGGGGTCCAAAATGGAACAAAGGCGTCCGAACGGGAACAAAGGGATGATGTCATATCCATCCACAGCCATCGTCCTTCACTACCTCCGGTCCCTCCAGACTACCTCCGCTCCTTCTTCACTAACCTCGGAGCTCCTGTATTCTGCAATCACCTCCACCTCCCTCGATGGTCACCACCCCCTCTTTTCAATATATTACCTACGCCTCCCTAAGTACAGAGCCCCGAAGGCTTCCAGACAGCTCTGACGTCCGCTAGCGCACTCCCGCCTCCACTGCTTGCCCTGCAAGTCCACCTTCAGGCCTATCCCTCCTTTCCATTTCTGGGTTATCGCCTGCCATTCTGCTAACCCCATGACCCGACTTGTCGGTAATATTCAATTGGCTAATGTTTAACTCCGTTAGCTCCACTCCGCTCGGTCCCGCCATTCATGGGCCCGCTCTCGCTGTAACTATATATATACTTAACTTGTACATAGGTTACACCTCAGTGATAAAATCGACTAGAGTTGATCCCCCTTTAGTTCTCGTTGCTAGTAAGTAAATTAGGGCATGGACGTGTAACTTGGCACAGCGCTCCTGGCTTGAGTCACTGAGGCCGAAGCCCTCCACCACGGAGACAATTCCTTCGTCTCGATCCGGTCTCTGACAGATGATAGAGGTGGTGTTACGGATACGGAGTCTCCAACGACCATATCCGTCACATGGTCAAAGACTTCTCCTCATTATCGTTCCTCCCCTCTTTCTCCCTTCCGTCCTCTATCCCGATACCCTATCCTCCTTATCCGTTCTACCCCTTTCCCCCCCCTTGCGCAAAGCTTTCCCCAACTGGGGTTTTGGTGCTGGCCGAGGTTATTTGTGTTTCGCGGGATTTCCCGCGACCTTACCATTTGTAGATAGTCACGCGTCTTGTACGGAAACCGCCAAAGGCAGTTCCCGCTAACTAACAACTAACAACTGCTCTACAACTGTCTCGTGTACCGTCTTCTGTAACAACCCTCCCTGTGACTCAACTGAACCTGTGTGACTGTACAACTCTCAATATGTCTTATAAGTCTGGTTATATCGAGTCCTCTAATGGCCCTCACCGCGAGAACTCGAAGTCGAGAGTCGAAGACTCTCAACATGTGTATCGTCCTATTGAACCTGTACCCTATGGGTCTTCATCACTCCGCTCTTCCCCCAGTACTCAACATACGACGTCCCGTCATGATCATGGTGATCATGAACACTATGAGGCCCCCTTACCTGCGATGCCGGCACGTTCGCTACGCGAACGCCAAGTAGCCACCCATCCACCGTCTGTTTCTTCCTTTGCCAGTCATCATATGCCCCCGCCAACGGTACGTTCCCTTTGGGAACGCCAAGTCACCGAAGGCCCTAATAGTCAGCCCTCATTGCATGCCTATGATATCAACCCGCTACCGGTACGTTCGCACTGCGAACGCCAAGTACCCGATGGCAACTACGCGAAGTTCTCACCCATCTCACCAGTCGCGACCTCGCACACGGTACGCTCCATCGCGGAGCGCCAAGTATCCGTGGCTGACCCATCTGTCCTAGTATCTCCGACTACCTATCATCAATCCCTTAATAGCTCACTACATCACCCATCGCGATCGATGGGAATTCGATCGTCCACTCCCAGGTCAGACTGGGATCACTCATCGATTACACTTCCAGTTATGGTACAAACTAGACATGACCCTCGTCTTCCCACTATAAGAACGGATCGAGGAATGGGGAATTTCCCCCATCCCCGTAACAGGTGGAGCGGCACCAAAAGGTCATAGGTCAGAACCTGTGGTACATCCGAAAGGAGATAGGGAGGGCGAAGCCCAGAGGGGCAGGAGGATGAGGTGAAGTGGGGATGATGACTAACTGGCTAGA